ATGGTGCTTTGTTTTCTCAAAAGAAAAAACGACAAAACGAATAAATATGTTTGAGGCTGGGATTTATTTTCCTTTTTTTAACAGTGCACGACAGCAACAGCGTTGCCATATGCACGAAATAACTTAACAGGGCAGCGTTTACATTTACATATATACGTTGCTTGTGTGCGTGTGTGTGTGGGAGGGGGTATTTGTAACAGATGCGTGTGAGAAGCTGCACGTACGCACGCAATTTTTGGGTGCCTGTTGTTTATACAAAACACACAGCCAGCGTGCATGAGGTTCTTGATAATAATGACGATACACTTTATATATGTATGTACATAGCTTGTCTGCCACTCATTAGACGTGGCACAGACCAACGCACGGTGGCAATTGGCCAAGCAACCACCCACAAAGTAGTCGTCAAATAGCGATGCTTGCTCACATACATACATACATATGCAGCAACTTTCATTGTTGCTTGCGCGAAAATTGCAAAATAAATTATCGGCACAGCGACAAACGACGCCTTCGCCTTTTCCCCACCAAATCCTGTTTTTTCTCCACAAGGCGCGTGTATCCAGCATGCAGCTGCAAATTGCTGAATATATGTACATATACACAGCGCTTCACCCGCTCCCTCCCCCTACACACACACACACAGCCTTCAATTCAATTGATATGCATTCAGCTCAGTTAAGGCGCTGATAAACGTGGTTTTTATTGTTTTTTTTTCTCTCAATTTTTTTTTTTTTTTAGGTTTGTCATCATCAACCTCTGCCGCCGCTGCTGTTGCACTAGTGGCAGCGCAGTCGCTACACGTCAGCAGACGTTGGCTCGAACTCGGTCAGCGTTGCTAGCAGAGAGCGGGCGGGCGGGCGGACGGCCGCAGCGCTCATCGCTTTGTCTTTGTTCGCATCGTTCGTTCATTTTTGTTTGCTCGCTTGCTTTGGCTGTCGTTCTATTTTGGGTTGCTGCTTGTTGTTGCTGCTGCTCGTTGCAGCGCCAAAGTGCAATAAACGTCATCAAGGTTGGTTATGCGCTGTCGCTGCGCTGCTCGCGTCGCTGTTGCAGTAGCTGCTTGCCGCAGCGCTAGTTTCGCTTTACAGTTTATTAACACTTTGATCCGTTTTCATTTGTTAAGCTCTTTGCGTGTTGAACAGCTCGCAGCGTGAATCATTTTGTATTAATTGCCTGAACACTCAGCTAAGATAGCCATGCATATGGCCGTCTCGCTTGCACGCGTTCAGCTCATTTCTATAGATGTATGTACTTCACAAAAATGCAAATGAATTTTGTTAATTTGTCAATTCCGGAAATAAGCTTCGGCGCGCAGCTAGCCCAAAAGCAACAACAGTAATTCATTTCACGCTGCCTGCCCACACATCGCCGCATCCCTACCCCTTACCAACCCGCCTCCTACACCAACAGACAGACTTGATAGGCAACATTCTGGGAAAGTTTCTTCGCTTTTGCCTGCGCCTCTCTCTTCTGAGGGCAGCTGTTTATATGTGGTGCGCATTTGCTTCCAGCTGTTCGCAGACGCGGGGGGAACACGCACTCTATCTTATCGCTGGCACTCTTTAATTTTCTTTTCCCATGCTTATTGCATAGATAAGCCAATCGTTTATTAATTTTTGAATATACGCGCACTTCGATTGCTGCTCAAGAGATAAATGCAGAGGCCTTTTAAAGCTGCTGGAAGAAAGTCCAATATTCTTTAGATAGGAACAAAATTAAATGTAGGATACAAAAAAATAATACTCTTATAAAACGTCAAACGTATTATGTCAGATTTTGAAAATGTTGGCTTGCAAAATTTTGGGCAAAGAAAGAATTTCTCTTCTATAGAAAAGCATGTCTTTTTCAATGGAAGGAACTTGATTTCGCGCGAAACATAGAAGCAAAAAGAAAAAACATTACAACTGGGGAGCCTCCATTTTCTTTTTACATTTCTTATTCATAACACAGATCTTATATAGTCTACATTAAGGTATTTATTAAGTGATGCAAGCTTTGTTATTGCCGTCGCAACGTTCATAAAAGACAATCAGGAACGACACGTGTTTGGATTACATACATATATAAATATATATGTTTTTATTAAATTAAATAGAGGCGACTGTGCTCTGTATATGCAAGACATAAAGACGCGACTATTATTCAAGCAAATAAAAATGCTTTTTGTCGTTAAAAGCGGGATTTGCGGTATTTGTTGTCGTAAGACCGCAAAATATGTGGTTCCCGAAGGTTATTGATTAGTTAAAAATTCTTGACCCAAAACTGTTTCTTAGTTGTTCAATTTCTCAACTTCTCCTTGTAGAGAGAAAATATATCAAACCGAATTTTCCACGTAATATTAGACAAACTATCAAATGGCAAAGCTGGGACAAATTCGTACGCATTTCAATAAGCTGTGGCCCACTGTAGATGCGTAATTGCTTACGAATAACGAGTGATAGGTTTGCGCAAATCAATAGCTGACGTGGCGCAATTGATGTACAAATTAGTATGCGCGGGATATACCCTACAATTTTCTAATGTCAAAGACCTTCATGGATGCCCAAATACATATACATGCATATATGCACTCTCTTTTCCTAGAAACGTGTTGGCAATTCTAGAAAACAGCATAGAAAACTCTATTCAATGGACTGTTGCCAGGGGCCTCAGCTGTTTGAGCGCAGCACTAAAAATATTGCATGAAAATTTATACGTAATGGATATGTGAAAACACACGCACACTGTTGCAAGTGCACTGCGTTTCCAGAACAATTTCGAACCGAACAATAAGAAGAAGAAACAAGTGGCAGGCATTACACAAACAGGGGCATAAAAACGTAACAGAACGTAACGAAAGAAGAGGCAGAAAAGTAGACGGCACACACACACACACACAGACAAGGGCAGCTAACACGCAAGGTAAAGGGATGAAGGGCGCCGCGCTCTTCAGTTCTGCGTCTATCTCTCTCGCTCCCTCTCACTCTGTTCATGTGCGTGGCAACCAGCGGCAGCTGCAAAACATTTCAATACACATACATATGTATGTAGCTCGCACAGTGGCTACAAAACCACTTAAAATGTAACGAAAAATAATGTACATAAATACATACGTTTACTGACAAGGGAAAGCCAAAGAGCAGAAGAGCGTAAGAGTAGCAAAAATGGAGTTTAGATTGGAGAAAAAAATAACTTGAAATTCAACACTCACCTGATTGACTTTGGCTGCAGCTGTTGTCGGTGTTGCTGCAAGAGACATTGCTGCCGCCTACGCCGCTGTCTGCGGAGCCGCTAGCGTTGTTGTTTGCGCTGCTGCTGCTGCTGCCGCAGCCGGTGTTGCGTCGCAGCGACGCAAACTCCTTGGCAGCAGCTGTGCTGGTATTTTTCTCCTCCAAAATGCGCTCAACCATTTTTTTTTTGGCCTTTCGGATTTTTCCCTTAAATTATTGGCACTCACACAGTCTCTCTGCTTCAATCGCACAAACAAGCAAAAGCACGCACTGCTTTTTTTGTTTTAATTTTTCCGGTCTAACAGCTGCAATGCTTGGGCCTGCACCTCCTCTCCGCTCTTATGCGACGCTAATAAGACACTATGTTGACGTCAACGTCGCTGCTGCGTTGTGCTCTCGCTCTCTCTGCTGCTGCGGCGTTAGTTGTTGTTGCTGCGCTCATTCAAAATGGTGGCTGATGAAAAGATTTTACTGCTGCTGCTCTGCCAAGAAATGATTTGAATTCTAGCTACTGCAATTGATGTTGCTGTAATTGCAGTCGGCGTCGTTGCGAATTGCGCAGCAGCATGAACAAATGTTTGAAGGAAAATTTAATTTGGCAAATACAATTTTTAGCCACTGTTCGGCAGCTGCTGCTCTGCTGGCGTTGGCTGCGCTGCACTGTTGTCGGTCGGTTGTTGGTAATTGTGGTTGTTATTGTTGGATTTGCTCATCACATCGGAAAAAGCGAGCAAAAAGTTGAATATTCCTTCTATTTTGTCAATTGAAATTAATCTGCTTTTCACTTTTCCTTTGTGGGGGCTTTCTATTGGGCTTTGATAGTGGTTGCTGTTATTGTAGTTGCAGTAAAATTTGATAGAATATTGCAAAATTGCTGTAGGTTATTGCCTGGGACTGACTGTGGTGGTGTTTGGTCGTTGTAGCTGTTGTTAAAAATTTTCTGCTGATTACAACACAAAAAAAATCGCTGAAATAGCGGACAAAAGCCGTTTTCTTTGCGTTTTTCGCTTTAAATTATCTCTTTTAGCTACCGATCCATTTTTTAACGTTCGAAGATGATTTCCGACTGACTAAAATTAGCGATGCACCGTGGAAGAAATATCGAAATATCGATACATTTTTCATTTCACTACATTTGCGATATTTGTTCAATGAGTCACTCGATGTATGTATGTAAACGGCAAAAGTGCATTTATAATTATGTTAGTACAACAAAATGCACTCAATTTAATTATTGCTATTTGTTATTTAATTTTATGCTTTGCTAACGTGTTTGCTGCTTGGCACTTAAGAAGCAGCTTATTATCGATTGCATATTCTGTTAGCTGAGGAGCGTAAACTCTGTCTGGTGTGGAGCAAATATGTTAAGTGGTTAGCAAACGTTAAATCACTTTATTTTCCCGCTTACCAACACACACTTAACGCGTTTTGCATTTAAATAATTACAAAATTCGCACGAGCACTCAAAATTGCAGCATTCCCTAAATTCGAAGTACAAAAGCGTACTTTTCTGGTATTTTATTTTTTAGCTATCACTTTTACCGCCTCCATTTTAGGCTCCGCCTTGTGGGTGGTGCCCTAACAACTTACAACCACCAATCACATTGTCCAGGACTTGCTGCTAGCGCATTTATCTAATGCGCCTGCGTAGATCAACAAAACGGCCAATTGAAAATTTGGTTTGAAACAATTCGACATCAAGTCAAGTGTTTCCAAAATTTAGTTTCTTTTCGCTTGGCATTTGCTGCGCTACGAAAGCCAACGGTCGCAACTTTTAACAATTATCACTTTGAATTGAATCCCTTCTGCTGCAATGGCCGATGATAGTGCGGTGGTTGGGCAGCTTAACGCGGCCAAGCGACCACGTCTCGCAGCCGGCTCGAAGTCGACGAAACCCATCGAGACGCAGCTGGCCAAAGCCTCGAATCGGGTGCCCAAGTGCGCCCGCTGCCGCAACCATGGCATCATCTCGGAACTACGCGGCCACAAAAAGCTCTGCACCTACAAGAGCTGCAAGTGTGCCAAGTGTGTCCTGATCTTCGAGCGACAGCGCATTATGGCAGCACAGGTGAGCTGTTGCAGAGAGAAAGTGAATGTTATTTATTTATTATAATAGTATATACAAAATACTAACTTATTGCAACAGTGCTTAAATGAATCTTGCAATTCTTAGCAAATCTTTAATCACGAGTTGGCTCCAATGTCTGCCTCAGGGTAAAGATGTTGATGTCTATCTATTCCTTGTTGTTACGCATTCATTAACGTTTTGTATATTGATTGCTGCAATGAACAATAAATGAATCCTCGTGTTTGCCCCAAGCTAACAGCTCCTGCTATAATTATACGCTTGTTAACCCTTGCCGCCTTAACTTTATAAACTATCGTAGTTCTTATCGGTTGCTTCGCACATATTAATAGTTATTCTATTAGTATTGTCTTTAGATTAACCACCGCACTGTTCTAATTTCAAAGATAAACATGCCACGGGCCAACTGCCAACTGCCCCTGCCCCTGCCCCCTTTTCTATGCTCCCGGCGAGCAAATGCAAACAAATGAAATACGAAATGCTGTCCAGATTTGGGTTAAACTTCTTCTGGTCTCGGACTTGGTGAATAATGACGACGATAATGATGATGATGATGATGGAAAGTTGTCAAAGCGTACGAACAAATCGAGCTAAAATATCCGCTTACCAAATGTTTGTACAACTGTTGCCAGGGCTCGCATTACATGAGGGGGAAATTAACTGGGCGAGCACTGTTCCTAAATTCACAGAAATTGAAGTTTAGAAATTGTTGCCTTTTACTGCCTTGCATAAATCAAAGCTTTTCACATCAACTTTGTTTTGTGTAAATCTCTTTAGTATTATTTCTAGAGCTAAATTGGAATTAGTTTAATTTAGCTTAAGCCTGGAGGCAGCTTTTTAATCCAATTTTAAGAACTTTCCATGAGCTTTTAAAATCGTTACGGAAACAGTTGCTAAAACGTTAAAATATCAAAACTTGTAAGCAGAAAATGTTACAATTTTTTTTTACTTGCCACCCTATAAAAGACTCAGAAGCTTATTTTAAGTTTTTACTGTCATTTTTTAATACTCTAAATACTTTAAATCTTACCTTTTTTACTTTTTTTAACCTAACACTATAAAACAAAAAATTTAAGATTAGCTTTAAAGAGAGCTTTTAACGAGCTTAAAATTGAATTAAAAACTTGAATACAAAAAGTTTAAAAGCAAGTAGATTTTAATCAATAAGAGTAAAGCTTCAAATGAGCTTTTATAGGGCTTTTAAGATTATTGAGTAATTGTATCTATAGATATATATTTAACCACATAATGTGCTTTCACATTTGACACGCTTAAATATTTCATTCCTTTTTTGGGCGGTTTCTGTATTTGGGAACACCCTGCCTTGATGCGAGTGTAATACCCAAAGGAATTGCAGTTGTTGTTGGCCGTTTGGCGGTTTGTTTTGTTTGTCTGTTTGCTGCACGCAAAGTCAAACAGAGATTCGGAAAAGTCGCGTCCAACACTTGTCGCATATTAATTTCAATCGGCATTTGGACATTCGCAGGTTGCCCTCAAGCGCCAGCAGGCGGTGGAGGATGCCATCGCGCTGCGCCTGGTGGCGAACAAGACGGGCCGCAAAATCGATGCTCTGCCGCCGGGCAGCATCTTTGGCCTGACCGTAACGCAGCCCAAGGACCAGGCAGCAGCAGCACACAGTCCACAGGAGGCAGCGGAGCAGCCGCAGCAGCAGCAGCCGACGTCAGTTGTTGCGGAGCCCGAAACCTTGGCTGTGGCCCAGGATCTGAGTGCACCGCGTCGCGAGATTGTCTCCCAAACGGCAATTGATATGCTGGCGCAGCTATTCCCACAGCGCAAGCGCTCCGTGCTGGAGCTGGTGCTCAAGCGCTGCGACCTGGACTTGATACGCGCCATTGAGAACGTCTCGCCGCCGGCGGAGCAGACGCTCGCGGAGCAGCTGCCGCCGCCGTTGCCGCAGCCCCCGTCGCTGCCCTTGCCGCAAGCACTGCAGCTGGCCATGCCGCCGCGCAGCAGCGCCTTCAGGCCAGTCATAGCCGAACAGGTGAGCCGCTGCAGCAGTTACCAACTTGCCCATACTCTGTTCACGAATCAGAAGGTGTATTTTGGGTTTATATCCGCTCGACTATCTGCTCATACATTCTCCCAACTTTACTCAATCAGAGTTAGACCTATTTATACCCCATTCCCATTGTAATGGGTAGATTATATGTAATACGAAATTTCAGTTATCAATCAATTTTTCTGGATATCTTTTTCCATTTTCGATAGATATCGATTTATGATTAAGACATATCTAGGGAAATATATGGGCTAGATGCGGTATGTGTCTACTTGCACCGCGTCTATATACCCTGTTCCCATTAAAAATTATGTAAAGCTTATGTGTTAGCTAATGCTAAATGGGGGGAGAGAGAGAGAGAGAGAAATTTGTAATACAATCGATTATTTACTTCGATATGTTTCCCTAACATCGATAAATATCGATTTTCGAAAAAAATGTTATTTAAATATATATCGGGCCATTTAAGAGCTAGAGACGCACAAATTTGGTTTGTATGATCTCGTCCCCGCCTCTATATACCCTGTTCCCAGTGGAAACGGTTTATATGGTAGGTATTTTTTATATGGTAGGTATTATATGAGAACTATCAGAGCTGGAGACAGCTGTAAGTTGTTGTGTCCGAGTCGGAGTCGGAGAACAGAGTATTGCGCAGTCGTTTTGAGTCGACTTGCAACTTACTTCATTGCTAACTTTTCAGTTTGCCTTGCTATTGCAGTATGCGGCAAAGGCCTCGTCGACGGCAGCCGCCGCCATTTGCGCGTATCCCAAGTGGTTTGTGCCGCTCTCCTTTCCCGTCACCATGGGCCACCTGTCCAATTTGGCGCCGCGCTGCAATCTGCCCAACTGCAGCTGCCTGGAGAGCTATCAGTTCCATTAACCACAACAACAAAGCAGAAACTATGCAAAAATTAATTAATTTATTTAAAGTAAATGTAAAGTAAAACTTAAATGAAATCTTTGTTGTATTCTGGTTGGCTGGCTACGTATCCACCCGATGTGCCTCGTTCTCCTCCTCCTCCTCCTCCTCGTCGTCATCGTCCTCATCCTCATCTGCCGACAGGTACATGCGATCCTCATCTTCGCTGTGCGCCTGCTGTTGCGCCCCTCTGCCCGTCCCCGTTCCCGTTCCTGTGCCCGTCGCTGCGCTGCTGCCGCTGCTGTTCGAAGTGGGCGTGGCTGCTGCGCTGCCGCTGCGTTTGGTCTGATTGGCACGTCGCCATTTGGCGCGACGATTCTGAAACCAGGTCTTCACCTGGCGATCCGTCAGCTTCAGCTGCAGCGCCAAATGCCGTCGCTCCTCGGGCGACAAATACTTTGAGCTGGAGAAACGATTCTCGAGATTTTTCGTCTGCTGCGACGTGAAACGGATTTGGCCACCTTTGCGCTTCACCCCGAAGTTGGACATGTAGAAACTGGCGCCCGGATAGGCTGCATTGCAGTAGAGGGCAGCGGCAGCAGATGCGGGATTGCTGAAACCTAGAGAAAAAGTTTGGCCACATAAATATCAAGGTAAACTAAATGGCAAGATTATCGGTTAGCGGTTTGCCCATATACCCCTGGCCCCTGTAAAGCATGAAAGGCAACGCCTCCGACCTGATAAGCTCCAGATCAGCATCAACAGCCGAGTTGAAATAGGCATGTCCACCTGTCCGTCCGTCCATCTGCCTGTCCATCGTTCTGCCCGGCTGTCTATTTCTATGCGAACTAGTCTCTCAAATCTCATCTGGGCGTCTTTCTGCTGCCGGCCGGATCAGACTACTCAATCATATAGCTGCCAGGGGAACGATTCCTCGAAAAGTAGGTTCTTCTAGGGAACACATTTTTGTATATGACACCAGCCTCGGCACTTGTAAGTTTCATTCTGCACCTTATATATGTGCAAAATCTTAGCAACATCGGAACACTATATCATATAGTTGCCATATAGTGAAGATCTTTAAAGGCACAGCAAATGCCTACAAGAGTATTAAATCTTCGGCATGCAGGAGATAAAGAAACCTTTTCGTTATAATTGAATTGAGTGAGTTCCATTGAGAGTAAACTTTTTCCAAATTTTAAAATTTCAATTTTAAAAATCGAAATAAGCATAAAGCAATATCTGTGGGATGTCTTTAAAGTGTTTGTGCATGTTGTTCGAACTATTTGTTTAAAGCTACCAAAAATTCAGTTATGTCAAGATAATAATTTCAAAACTAAGAAAATTTTAAAGCTGCCAACAGCTTGATTATGTAATTTTCCAATAAATTGTCGAATTTTGATGTATCTTAAGTTCATATTAGTCTGAAACATTTTTAGTTGTTTTTGTCAAAAATATTCAATTAAATAAATTAAAATTATTATATTATATTATTATTATTGTGATTTTTAATGAACCAAAATCTTTTTATTAATGTGTTTGAATTTTGCTTGCTTACGTTTTATTGTTATAAAAATAGAGCAAAATTTTCCGAGACTTTTGATTGGCTGCCTCGTCAGGGTTGAGTGCGTCTCTTTCGCACACCCAGAAGGGCCGTCTCTGTACGCATGGCAATGGGGCACTGGCCACGCCCACCAAACTGGCTGGGAACTGGCTGGGGCTAACGGCAATTGAGGAAGAATCAATTGCCATAATTGTTATCGCGGGGGCAGCTGGCCAACAACTAATTCGATTGTATATGGGCTCGCATAATGGAAGAGTGTCGAGTGGATGGCGTGATAAGGTGCCTAGGTCCAAAATTCGTATCGCTCCCGAGTGAAAAAAAAAAAAAACGCTTACTGTCGGACTGCGAGCGGAAATTCGCACTCACAATTCTAATTGAACGGAGACAACTTTATGGTAGAGAGCACGACGCTGAGATAACTATCCATACTTAGACCGACTGACCTCAGTCCATGGGGAATATCTAGACGTATAAATTGAAAATATTCGAACTTGAAACATATCGTAAAAATTAATAACGCTTGCGATTTAATGTCATAATTTAAATTGTACAAATACAATTATTAACGTTTATTTTTATTAAGTGGCGTATTGCGCGATAAGCCCTGAAACATGGTGCCAACAACCACCCACCCCCCACTTGTGGTTACCCCTGCTCTGCTTGCACTGGTTATTTTTTTTTATTTTTTTTTTTTTTTTGATTTCTTGCACTTGAGCACAATTTGTTGTTAATCGTTCAAATATTGAATGAAGAGGCAGCGACACTTGTGCCAAAAAAGAAAACAAAATAATATTGAAAGTGGAATTGAGGAACCCGTTCGCATAGACGACAGCGGACGCGTCTATCTCGATCTGAGTCGAATGGCAATTGTCGCCAGAAGATGATGGACAGCGCCTATTAATCGCCACTAATAGCATTTTTAGTTCAGATAAGCCCAAAAATATGGTATTACCACCGATTCGGACACGAATCGCACATGCTCTGTTTTGTTGGGCAAAGGAAAGTGAAATGAAGTTTAGTATTATAAAAATACTGAGTAAAAATACTGAATAAAAACAAATAGAGGAAAAAATCAAGCTTTAAAACGGCTCAATATTATGAATATGATTGCCAGGTAAGGGAGAAAGTAAAAAGTATACTTAAATAAATACAAATCAAGCTCTTCTCATCAGTTTAATATTATGAAAAATACTGCGATCCAAAGGGAAATAGTAAAAATATATTTTTATAATATATTTTAAAAGTAAAAATATAACCAAAGGATTCTGTTTGTGAGGAAAAAAAATACAATATATATATTATATAAGCCTTACATTAGTTCAATACTATGAAAAATACTAAGTGTAAATTTTAAGTATATTTTGAATAAAAATCAAGCTTCTCAGCAGTAAAATATTTTGAAAAATACTGTGATTCCAAGTAAGAAAAAAGAGTTAAAAAATATATTTTAAAATAAAAATCAAGCTTTTGATCCAAAATGCTTCTTCTGCCTTTTATTTAACACATGCATTTATTTATTAAATATATATATATATATAAATTAAATATATTCATTCTCATTGAACACGCAAAAACTTTATTCAAAAGTATTCTTGTATTTTTTTGAGATTATGTTCTAATGCGAAATTTGAAAATGAAATTCTAAGGAATTACTGGAAATCATTTCTCAGGCTTTATGCGGCTTCAGCAATTGGCTTAGAGAACAATAAATTAGAAATGGGTTTGAACCGCGTCGGTTCGAACTCGCAACTACAACCTTGCCTTTTAGTAAAACCGAAAACAGCCGAACCTGAAGCAATATTTGAAAAAAGAAAAAATATAACGAACCAAAATTTAAACTGGGAAGAAACATCCTGAATCTAGCTTCGATAAATTTGACGAGCCAAGATTCGAACTCAAGTTTGGATTTTGAGAAGTGAACATATATTTTATCAAACGTCTCTTTATCTATAAATGAGGAACCGAGTCTCGCAGCGAAACTTAGGTTTATGAAAGAGAAAAAAATATATAATTCACACGGCACTTGATCGATAAATGCCCGAAACTGTGGATTTCTTTTAAGCCCTTTTATTGAAATAATCTAAAATTCAGCTTCGTTTAAGCTGGGAACGGTAAACTTAGAGCGGCCTAATCCGCAGAATCAACATATATTTACATATGCATATATTTACAGGGTGTCTCTGGAACAGTCTTACCCAAAGAATGTCATAAACCTTTAGCTGGGCCATTTGCTTGTCTGGCTCTCACCTCAATTTCAAATATTTGTCATTTTGATAAGGCTCCCGAAAAAAAAGTGCGTGTCATATGTGAACGACAAGGGATCGAGCCCAGTTGATCCATATGCCAGACGACGGGCTAATCTGGCCGAACGCATTCCACTGGGAGCTGCACACAGCGGGAGAGGCGGTGGGAAAGGGAGAGGGAGTGGGAATCTCAAGTGGCAAGCGTTGGCGCCAACACTTGACTTTGACAAACATCGATGCACATTAATCATGTGTTGGGGGCAACTGTTAATGCCATAATATTTGATGCGGCTAAAAATGTTCGAAATGCATTTAAATATGCGACTTGCCTTTGAATACTCAATCAGCAAGGTCGTTGCGTATTTAAATGAAGCTAGTCTAATGGATTCCCATATGATATATATATAGATATTGGGGGGGCCTTATAATGTCAAGTTCGTTGACTTGAACTGGGGGCATGTGGACGCCCCAGAGCCAGGAGCCGGGCATGTTTTCAGCTCAGATCTTCCCAGTAACTGTTTTTCGTATATTTTCGCTTCTTCTTCCTTATTCATATACTCAATGGTATGGAATAAGAAGTTCTTGAAGCGTACGAAAATTGCTTTTCTCAATATTTTGAGCATTAGAAATTACGATTCTGAACATATCTTTAATGATTTTCTTTCCTTTTCTTACATTTCCAGTAAATGTTTTTCGTAGATTTTCGTTTCTTCTTTCTCCTTAATATCCCAGCTTTATGTAATGGAATAAAAAGTTCTTGAAACGTACGAAAATTACATTTCTCAATATCTTTAGCATTGGGCTTCAATTCATTATCAAATTGGGCAAGTTTCATTAGTTATTCTAGTTGGACTTTTACCCGCCTAAGTTATTAATTATGTATTTATATCGCTCGTTCATTATGGGTGCTACGAATGCCCTGACTCATATCCGGTATTTCATAACCCTGCATGATCGAATGATACCTTTTTAGTAGCCATTTGTATTAGCAGCTCCATTGAATATCTTTGGACTTTGGTAAAATACTATATATGCAGTCATCATTATAAAGGGTATTATAAAATTGGACTGTCGCCGACTGTGATTCCCTATTTTAAGTAAAACAAGTAAGAGGTTCTAGTCGGAAGCTCTCGACTAACCTGAACCCTCTTTTTCCAAAATCAAATATATATATATACATGTCAAGTTTGGTGACTCTAGCTCTTATTATTTACCAAAATTGCCTAAAAAAAAAGAGAATATCGATATC